GAGAAAATGTGAGGACCGTGGGTTCCATATGTGAGGAGGCGGGGGGTCGGAGGGGGTTTAACATGCTTCGTGCTGCGTGGACAGAAGATCGGCTGTCATTCTGTAATCGGCTTGGCTCAGCCTCCTTCCGACCACGCAGGAGGTGGAGAAGGAACAAGTTGAAAATTGGATGACTGTGTTTTTCTGACTAATTACTTGATATGCTTTACACTATGTGGGTTTCATCCTAAAGACATTTGCAGGATTCCAAAAAAAGAAAAGAAAAGAAAAATCTCAATCACATGCAATCCTGATATCAAACTACTCACAAACCCTGCACACACTTCCAGAAATCACAATGCTATTTAGAAGGTGCACGACTCTCTCCAGTCCTTGCTCTTGATGATGAGACGTCTGAAAAGGCTGGGGAGTCTACTTGAAAAGTGCCCCGGCTCAGTAGTGCTGTTTCACTGACATGGCAGGGGACATGAAATCTGTCATTTTCATCATGTTCTTTCGTGGGGGAACTTGTTTCCTGCAGCTTTCTCTATCAGATACACTGTATGCCGGTGTGGGTTTATGGCTGTGGAGCTGGGGCAAGCCCGATCGATCTGTGGGAGCCATACGATTTAATAGGTGCACAACTCTTGCTAAGGGGCGCTGGGTAGGAGGGATACATTTAATCACTAAGAGGGAGCAGGGTGGCAAGGCCTGGTCACCAACAGTTTGTTTTATGAGAAGTCAAGGTATCAATTTTCCTCCACACTGTGAAATATCTTGGGTAATCTATTTTTAGTGCTAGTGTTTCCATTGTGTTTTCCCATTTCCAACTATTCCACTATCTGGCTAATTTATTTTGGTAACTTTTGGAATTTCAAGTATTGACAGCTGTTCCCTGAAGTGCTCTATGGCTGCTGCTTAGATAGCGTTTGTGGCTTGTAAGCTCCTGTCTCAGAGCATTATAAACTGCTATGTTGTGTTGACATTTAATGTTTAACATGACATTTAATAAGCTGTCCAAAGTTCTTCACGAAACAACTGTCAGCAATCAGCAGTTATTTCAATGCCCCTGTGTGCATGACTAGAAAGAGAAATGTAACTTTAATTTCACTGGTCACACTGAAACTTAACAAATTCATTATTAAATCTGAAAATTAAAAAAAAACCCATTTTGCCCAAAATAAGGTTTAAAAAAGCTAAAAGTCAGACTTACTACTTGGCAAGTGTGACATAACATGAGCACAGAAGCGAGTTTGGGGTGTTAACTTGGCCTCCAAATTCCCCAGATCACAATCCAATTGAGCCTCAGTAGAATGTGCTGGATAAACATTTCCAATCTAATGACGCCTTGCCTCACAACTTACAGGACTTAAAGGATCTGGTGCAGATACCAAAACACGCCTTTAGGGGTCTAGGAGTCCATGCCTCGAGAGGTCAGGGCAGTTTTGGCAGTAAAAGGGAGACCAACACCAACCAACACAATATTAGGCAAATGATCATAATATTATGCCTGATCGGTTTATCTGTCCATTACCAAATAGTTGAAGCTGCTGCGAACCTCAAGTGTGCATTAGTGCAACAGCTATCTTGTTGCTACTTAAATACCATGCATTTTCAATTCAATTCAATCTTTCTTATACAGCACCAAATCGCAACAACAGTCGCCTCAAGGCCCTTTATATTGTAAGGGAGACCCTACAATAATGCATACGAGAATAACACAACAATCATATGACTTCTTGTGAGCAAGCATTTTGGCAACAGTGGGAAGGAAAAACTCCTTTTGCACCATTTTCAGCAAAAAAGTGTAGATTTCACATGTAGATTTGTTTTCAGCGACAACAATCTATCTAAAATATTCAAGAGTAAACTACAAAGAGTTCAGAGACATTGTACTTTAGTTTTTGGTGCACTGACAACACAACAAACATTAAGCAATAACAGCAATCCATCTTTAAATATGTATTAGGGCGAATTCAGGGCCACAGCTCCTAGTCATCAGTTCAGTTTTGGTGACTTCTAAACACACATTGATCAATAAATAAAGACATTGTCATCTTCATTTATATACAATAAGCACATTTAGAACTCATTAGGATAAAGGGGGCAAGACGAGGAATTACTTCTCTGCACTGAGCTGTTGTCGGCTGTGTTTTGCTCAAGCTCTTCACAGCTTTCACCAAACCTCTGAATAACCTTGAACTTCTATAGCGCACCTCAACCCCAAACAGCCGTCTGCTTAATGCTGTTATGCCGGGCCCTACACGCTAAAAGTCACTGGTGGTGATAGTGGCTGATTAGATTGTGTCCATTGATTGCACTGCGTGCTGTTAGGACGAGCATGATGCGGGCTGCAGATCCTGCGTCTCCTCCTCCGAAACACTGACAGTCTGAGACAGAGGAGATGGAGCCCCATGCAGGGCAGCAGATTGAGTTATTGATCAGCTCTCTCCTTTCTCCTGTCTCCGTCTCTCGCTCTGCTGCTCCGAGAGACCCCGTCATCAGGATAATGAATTTCACTTATTGCAGATTAACGTCATAAGGTCTGTATGGTAATAATGGCAGGAATTAGCTCTTTGTCACCCCCTCTGAATTTCCAAGAAGGAGGGGCGATGAAGGTTGTTATTGCCCCGTTACTCAGTCTGAGGAGCGTGATTTGAACAAAAGGGAACGGTGAGCGGAGAAGTGCATGAAAATGAAAGATTTGAGGGAGAATTAAAGAGAGACTTACGAAGACTGTGATTTCAGCATCACTGAGGCGGCTGCGACGAGTTCTGATGCAAGAAATTTGTGTTTGATGAAGGAGGGTGAAGGAGAATTTAGAGAGGAAACCAAGACTGAATAGCAGGCTGCTCTGTGAAAAAGAGAGGCCAAAGAGGAAAGATGAGAGGGGAAGATTCAAAAGGGATGAGTAGTAAAGTGGAGAAGAGAGCATGATAAGCAGTGGTCATACAGTCACCAGGCAGCAACGCCGCTTAAGGGTCGGCCATTGTGTCTCCAGCACCAAGATTGGGGTAGTAAAGAATGAATAATGAGGCTTGATTACAGTCCGTGAGATGGCACATTGTTCAGAATCAATCCTCCAGGCAATTACAGGCGCACAAACAGCAGCCCTCAGCCTCAGCACGGACAGAGCGGGAAGCGATTGTGTCAGAGGACAACATCATCTTCGTCAATGACTTGTTGCCTCCTCGTGTCGGAGCCATTAGCACTTACTCTGCTCCTGCAGCCACATTCAGCCACCCACATAAAAAGCCTCCAATTCACGTTTGTGAGGATAAAAACGCAACACCATGCTCGTGCTCATCATATTCACAAATACGCATAATGGACTGCTTCTTCCTTCCTTGTTGCAGGTACGGCTTTGGACTGTTGGATGCAGGGCTGATGGTGCAGCAGGCCGCACACTTCCACAGCGTTCCTATACAGAAGAAATGCACACAGGAAGTCACGCTTGATCCTGCCAGGTAAAATACAAAGATTTAAAAAAAAAAACAAAACTTTTTTGACTCTATCTGCTAAGGATTTTCAGATTAGCCCCAAGAAACTGGTTTTGATATCAGCATCCATGATCTTTAACTCAACTTCATCTGTCTTGTCACTGCTTTATGCATACATATGAAAGTGAAATGAGCATGTGAGAAGAGGCTTTTGAGGCTTTCAACTTACAGAGGTAATGACTTTGTATTGGCTAGAATCTTTTATCCAGGGCAAGGAGTCAATGTGAACATCCAATCAGAAGCCTGTCGAGGAAGGGCTAATGAGATCAACACTCTTGAGCATGTCCAGGTGGGTAATTTTTTATTTTTTTGATTAAATACATGACATTTTACAACATTTTTTGGCATTAATTTGTTTTTGGTAAATTCAATTATTCACCTACTTGCAAAGAAATATTACTCTCCACTCACTGAGAAGTTTTCTCCAGATTAAGTATACACGAAAAACTGAAAACAGTGAATTAGTGTATTTCAGAGGAGCTAGCAGGTGGACTTCAGTAAACAGAAGCAGGCTACTTGTCTTCTTTCCATTTTTTAAAGGCTTTATAAAGACTTTACCTTCTCCTTTGTCTTTACACTGAGTGTGCATGATATGAGCCATAACATATCAATCTCTTAAAAAAAATTACAGCAAGAAAGTGAACAGATTTGTTTTCAAAAATGTTAAACTATAAGAGAAAAATTCAAAGAAAGATTCCAAAAGTGAGTTTTTTTCAATAGCATAGACATATACATTCACACTCCATGTTAGGTACGCCTTGCTAGTTTAGGGTTGGACTCTTTTTTTGCTCTCAGCACTGCATTAATTCTTTATGGTATAGATTCAACAAGGTGCCGGAAATATTTCGCAGAGATTTTGATCCATATTCACATGATAGCATCATACAGTTGCTGCAGATTTCTTGGCTGCACATCCTTGATGCAAATCTTCCGTTCCACTACGCGCCAAAGGTGCTCTATGGAATTGAGATCTGGTGACTGTAGAAATCATTTGAGTACATTGAACTTATTTTCACATTCAAGAAACCAGTCTGAGAAGATTTGAGCTTTGTGGCATGCTGTGTTACCCTGCTAAAGGCATGGACATAGTCAGCAACAATACTCAGGTAGGCTTTGGTGTTAAACAGTATTAAAGGGCCCAGAGTTTGCCAGGAAGATATCCCTCACACCAATACACCACCGTCAAGTCAAGTCAAGTCAAGTCAAGTCAAGTCAAGTCAAGTCAAGTCAAGTCGCTTTATTGTCATTTCAACCATGTACATATAACAGACAATCAACACAGGACTAAATAAAGTGCAAGTGTGCAAAAATGGCAAAAAACAGTGCAACACCAGACAGAACAGAACAATGCAGACACAACAGTGCAATAGAAAAGTGCAATAGTGACAGTGGGTTGTGCAAAAGACTGAGCATTGTGCAAAAAGTAACTTGATGTATTAATGTGTGTGTGTGTGTCTGTGTGACATTGTACAGATAGGTGCTTGAGGTAGTGAAGTGTGTGAAGGTATGTGTGTGTGTGTCAGTCCAGTCACTGAGTGTCACCAGAAGCCTGAACTGCTGATGCAAGGCAGGATGGATCTATGCTTTTATGGTGTTTATGAAAAATTCCAACCATATCATCCGAGTGTTGGAGCAGAAATTAGGTCATTAATCAAGTGAGGCGATCTTTATTTTGGTGAGCCTGTGAAAACTGTAGCCTGAGTTTGCGGTTCTTAGCTGACAGGACCAGTGTGGTCTTCTTCTGAAGAAACGTGCATTCAGAGATGCTCTTCTGCATACCTTGGTTGTAACAAGTGGTTATTCGAGTTACTGTTGCCTTCCTATCAACCTAACATAGTCGGGCCATTCTCCTCTGACCTCTGGCATCAACAAGGCATTTTTTTCCAGGGAACTGCTGCTCACTGGATCGTTTCATTTTCACACCATTGCTTTTAAACCCTAGAGATGATTGTGTGGGAATCACTGCATCTTCTGAAATACCCAGAACAGTCTTTCTTGCACCAACAACCATGCTACATTCAAAGTCACTTTAGTAACATTTCTTCCCCATTCTGATGCTCCATTTCAGCAAGTTGTCTACATGCTTAAATGCTTTGAGCTGCTGCCATATAACTGGCTGATTAGATACTTTCGTTAACATGCTACACATACAGGTGTACTAATAAAGTGACTGATGAAGGTACTTTTTAAAATATTGAAGTGTGATGTAAATCTGCTCCTATAGTCTTTCAATGTTCCTGTTGCCCTTGACAGGACAGAAATCAAGCACAAGTGCATTCAAAAGTTAACTTCTGCCTACAGTTGAGGGAGCTTGAAGATGCCATATAAATTGTTTTGGGGTTTCAGTGTCATGTGCTTTATCTGAGAATAGAGGAGATAAAAAAAACCATCATACTGTGATGTGCAATGTGTTGGCAGTGTAATTTGCAGAAAATGGCAAAACTGTGTTTTCTTGAGCACAGGCACATACATGCAAATGTGTTTATGTTTGATTGTGTCAGCAGGCATACGTACTGTACGTGTCTGTGCGCGGCTCAGTTTGTGCGAGTATTCTGTGTTTGTGAATGTGTGTACTTGTGAAATGGCGAGGAGAGAGAAGGAGAGCGAGCGAGAGTGTGTCAGCATGCAAATTGAAAAGGCTTCATCTTTGCGGCTCTGCTCCCTGGCAGAAAGCGTGGGTCAGGCCATCGCTGCGAGGTGTGATTGATGGATGTGTTGCCGTGGTAACACGCCGTAAACAGGAGCGGGCTGTCAGTCTTTTTGCAGCTTGGCGGCTCTCTCTGCGATGTGCCATTGTCACACCAGATGTGCTGCTTGTGATGAACAGGGACAGGGAGGGTGTTTACTGGGTGCTACTGGTGGTGGCGGGGGATATGGGCTTATTTAAATCATTTAGCTAATATCCTGCACAATCGTGTTCAATTTATTATACTTTCTTCACCTGCTTCCCTTTGTCTTTGCCTGGCTATGGACATATTTTTGGCTTGTCCATCTATGTGCCACATCATCTCAGACAATACTCATTGGATTTAGATTTAGATTTAAGCAATACAGCACTCTCTGTTCTATTTTCATAATTAGTCAGCGGACCTTATCAGGGAGGGAAGTACATTGTTTGTTCCTTCATCACATGTCTTATCTAGGATGTCAAAGATTAAAACAGCAAATTGATTAAGAAGGCACATTCAAAGAAAGTGCCAAAAAAATGTGCATGTTCCATTTTTGGAGGGAGTCAGATGAAAGCATGGATGCCAGTTGTCTCTTATATATGAAGCTACAGTATAGATATGGTTAAATCTGCATGACTAAAACTGGGAAAAAAAATGGAAACAAGGGAAATTAGTTAATGTTGGCTTGGTGCAAGGTTAGCAGAATCTGTCAGCAAAAACTCACCAATTGCTATGTTGTCTCGTTTTTGTTTAAACTGCACAAAAAAATTTAAAACAGTATAAAACAGCAATCTGCGGTTTAATAGGACATTATAAATGGAGCTATCTTTTACCCAGGCACAGTAATTTCCTCTCATCAATATGAAGTTGTAAATCTTCTGGTAGAAACTCTCAGTTAACACAAAATTACAAGTTTTTTACCCGAGCAGATTAAACAAACCGATATAAAAGCTGAATATGATACATGTAAAACAGCCAGGCTAATTAAGAGAATCAGATCGACAGTTTCCCTTTAAGTTAAAGGGAGCTAAGTGGCTGCTAGCAACTTTTTCATGTTTTAGCTCACCCAACATTTGTATCGAGCTTATTATAGGAAGAAGGTGAGAAAGTGAATATCCTATAATGTGGAACTATTCCTTCATGGAGCTTGCCATCTGTCTCTCAACAGGTGAGAGTGAGTATCAACGCAGCGTGCCGTGGTGACCTCTCCATAAGCCTGGTGTCTCCTGGTGGCACAGTGTCGGTGCTGTTGGATACGAGGCCTTACGATGCCTCCACCGCTGGACTGAAGAACTGGACTCTGATGACTGTGCACTGCTGGGGCGAGCAGCCACGAGGCCGCTGGAGCCTCCAGGTGAGAAAGAAAAGCTGCTCCTATCAGTGTTTAACTGTTAGCCCTGGTTGCTATTTAGCAAATGATAGCAAGTAATGGTGCATTCCTGAATAAGTGTGCTGCAGTGGTGTTTTTAAGTGTAAATAAAAGTATTATACTGCATTGCTCATGATACCTGAATGATTCTGCCTTGCTAAGAATCAAAACAAATCCTGTTTTTCCTTGCTGGAATGTGCTAACTCTGGCATTCCAACATCCAAGTTTGAGGTATGAAGACAAGCCATTAAACATCACTACATCTGTGTTGTTATTGTCCCCATGACCACTAATGACAATTGATGTTAGCATTTAGCGAAGCTAACATTGTTAGTGGTTCTTAATAACATGTTCATGTGTTTTATACAGCATGTTAAAATATTTGGCTAGCTTTGAACTATAAAAAGTAGCAATTACACTAAAAGCCTTTTGTCGTAACTGATATGACTTGGAAACTAGTAAAGAAGTGACAAGAAAATGTAGGCAAAATCTTTGTGACATAGTTTATATACTAACTTTGCTCTCCTAGAGGCCTTGTTTCGCATACCTTCCCTCATGATATAGAAATAATTTGCTCCGCTTCACATTGTCCTCTTCCAGTAGCTGTGTTGTATAGAAGTTTAAAAATAGCCCAGCCCGGCACAGCTCAGCTCAGCTTGGTTCAGTTCATTTTGCAATAGCAATGTGAATCATCCTCTACTTTCATCTCCAAGATTCAGCCAAGCATGGCAATCTTCATTTTCCTCCCCACACTCTTTCTTTTTTTTCTCTCTCATAGATGTGCTGATGTTTGATATGGAGGAAGGAGCTAAAATGGAAGGGAAATTAAGACTGGAAGGTTAAGTAACCTTGGCCGGGTTTGACAGGCACAATACTGCCGACATCTGATTAGAATCCATACTCTCAGAGAGTAGCGCGCTGAGGTCATTTACTGTATATATGTGTGGGTGGTAGCAGTTGGGGGGGGGACTCGCTATGTAGAAATGTGTGTGTGTCTGTATTTGTGTGTGTGCAAATAGGCGTCAGTCCTTGTAAACAGTTGGAGGTTTATAAAGAAAAAGCTGTGAAGATGAAAGACACCCCCCCCTCCATCCTCGTCACCTACCTCCTCCTGCAAATTCGCACACATGCAAACACACACACACTCTTTCTTTTCTCTGGCTCCATGTCTCTGTGTCTCTCCCACGTCCTCGTACAGATTTACTGTCCCCTCTGTGACCAATTACCAGGGCCCAGTGTGTCGCAGAGATGGGGAAGAAGCACCGTGAAGCCGAGCCACATAACGGTGCCGTTGCTCATTACCGGAGGGCCGAGACAAGTCGCCGCGATACTCGCAACACGAATTAACGCTCGCATCTGACGTGCCGCATGCCTTAGCACGCCACTAATCAGCCCATACACACACCCACACACTGATTGGTTTCATGCTGGATGTCAGCTCTGCCGTAGATTGGAGAGCAACATGTACACACTCTCACAAATATTGAAAAGGAGACGGTGCGTTAGCATGGTGGGGTGGGGGATACAAAGGACTTACATGGCTAAAGTTGAACAACAATGTCCAACTATATGAATCAAAATCTCTCTTTTCCAAAAGTGTATAGATATTGATTGCTAAATAACACAAATTGTCATTTTTAATGGTTTTTGACATTTGGCAGGCTGCTACAAAAAAAAGCCTCTGACAAGCAGCTACGCCAATTAAATCTGACACTGATACATGGAGAGAACCAGAGGACATACAGGACTAAGAGAAAAGAGGAGTTTTAGAGAGAGGCAAGGGTAACCTATAACATGGAGCCCTGGGAAGGGACTTTACCTGGACTATGTTTTGGATCTGTGTTTAAAAACTCAAGGGCGGCAGAGAACGGGGGCTGAGGGACACGGGAGTCTGTGGAGAAGTCTGTATTGATTCGTCATGATGACAATTGTCAAAGAGCGCTGTGGTTCTACTAGGAATAAAAGTGGGACTGAAGTGAAAAGGGAGCGAGTGTTATGGCTCGAGGCTCGGCTGACCTTCTAGCATTGTGAAGGAGACGGGAATGCGGGGCTGGAAATACATACTCTCTCTCGCTCTTGTCATAACTGCTCTCCCTTGTGCTCACTCTACCGCCATCTGTGGTGCCTCAGCTCACCTCCCTGCTTTCACTGTTGATCAGAGACAGTATTGCACAATATGGAAATCCCACGAATAAGCAGTTTACAATATGCACGCTGTCATTAAAGATGGCCCATAAGAAGATAAAATGGTAATTTCACCCAAATTTAGACATTTCCTCTCTGTGGTGAATGTTGTCACCAGTGGTTTTGGTGTTATTTGACCAGATTCATCTCCACCGCAATCAGTGTCCCCACTTTCCTTGATAATCAACAGACCTCGATGTGGACTATGCACATTTTCTTTTTAACAATCTGAACACTTTAAGTTACAATTTTGTTGAGTTTAAAGACTTTTAAGCTTCAAACTTCCTAGCAGGAGCTGTAAAAGGAGTGAGATTTATGTGAGCTGCAAAATACAAGTTAGACAAGGATAAATGTTTTCTAAATAACTAGTTTATTTATAGTCAGGGAGCTTCATATCTCAGGCCAGTTGTGACTCGTATTGGAACAGAATCTGGAAGCATCATGTCTTGCTGTTAAAAGAGCATGTGTCACATGTATATGAATCGGGGGCTCATTATGTTAAATTGTAGTTGATGTCATCAGTTTTTAGTTTGTGCTTATTCTAATATTGCTACACTAAATCAACGTTTGAAATTAACTCAATTATGATTAGGTTTATATCATCAATAGTCCCAGCCCTAGGCGGACGAATGATATCTTAAAACCTGAGAATATTAAAAAAACCTAACTACACTGTGACTTACCATGAAAGGTATGAGGAAAATATCCCTCTTTGTAATTTCACTGTACAAAGTCTTTTACTGTGTGCGTGTGTGGTACAGTAACAACTCTTCTAATTGGTAACTATGACTGACAGCAGTTTTTTTTCCATTCCTTCCGCTGCCTGATACAATGAGTTTTCAAAGAATATTATAGAAGGGTGTCATTACTGTGCTCCACTTTCACTGAGACCTTATACACACAAACACACAAGCAGAAAAAAACACGGCAAAAATATAAACACACATACGTTGCTCTCCCACCCCACCTGCCATGCCCACAGGGTAGGTTTGTGTGTGTGTGTGTATGTGTGTGTGTTTATAGCAGTGTGGCAGCAGTCTTTGAGCAGCGACATCTCTGATTCCCAGAGGACTTTGAGACTCGAGCTGACTGTGACTAGAGCGGCTGTAGGAATATAATAGCACTATTTAGCCTGCAGCACTGTGGTCACACACACACACACACACACACACACACGCTCAGACACACAAACAGCCACCCTTGCTGTCTGTGATAGACAGATCATATATTTACCATCTTCATCCCTTGTGCTCCTTCAGGAGTCTTTCCCCTCTTGTCTCCCCAACAGATTACACAAACCAAACATAGACACACACAGACACACACACACACACACACAGTGACTAAGTGATAATAGAAAAACCTGAAGATAAAGTATTAACTACGCAGTTTTTGCCACTGTCTTCCACCTTGAGTTGATGAATATAGTACAGTTTGTGTTGTTCATTCTCGCTGGGTAAATGATAAACCCTTCTGGGGTAAGATGGTGTTCGTTAAAAACACCAGACTGTTACGATAAGGTTGTTTTATTTGCTTCATAGTCATATTTGGTATTAAATACAAGCGTGTGCTATTAGCTGCAGTGCTCTGATATTTACTTTTTGGACGTTGCATTTTGAAAAAGTATTACACTAACTGGATTTTATGTTTTTAGTCTAACTGTACAGGCCCGATGAATGTTGTGTGCATGTGTTTCGTCCTGTCTTCCTCCCCTCATCCTCAGGCTTGGCAGGTGGCCGCCTCTCTCTGAGCCTGGTTCTCCTGGAGGTTTTTTCCTAACAAAAGGGAGTTTTTCTTTCCCACTGTCGCCAAGTGCGTGCTCATAGGGGGTCATCTGATTGTTTCTCTGTATTATTGTAGGGTCTTTACCTTGCAATATAAAGCACCTTGAGGCGACTGTTGTTGTGATTTGGCGCTGTATAAATAAAATCGAACTGAATGTGGTTTGACTATAGTAACTAATTGGAAAGCTGGATTTAACTTGTCGAAGGAGAAAATGTGTATCTGGGGCTTTTATGAACTCTACACTGAAAAATAATTCAGAAATGGGAAAAACATACTCGCTGCAGTCTCATATTCTTAGAGGTGATGTTAGGTCCCATTTTTAAAAGGCAGATTTTTTTGGACTTTAAAAAGTTATCCTACAATGTTATGTACTACCTGTACAGGGGAGAAGTACTGCTGACCTCTGGTAAAACCAGTGTAAGAACATCTTCTGTCGTTACTGTTACAGCAACATACTTGCACACAGTATCAAGTTTGGCAGAAACACTGTCAAAGCCTGAAGTAGAAACACAATCACACGCAAACAAACATGCATTTTCATTCACACACACTCACTCACTTTGGCCCAAGGTGGATTTCTAGAGGTGCATATATTTACATATATTTGCATGTTTAATGAGTTTTGGGAGATCAAGCGATCCAAGCGGCCCTTTGTGGATATTTCTTTCTTTCTTTCTTCCCTTCGTTTTTTTTTTTTTTTTTTAAATTTGTGTGTGTGTGATTGTGGTAGGAAGGGGAGTAGTGGAGGGGGGTCTCCATGTAAATATCACCCACTGTGTGTTGGCACCCGTCGCAGATGGTCGGGGGCGAGGGCACCCTGTGGGCACAGGATACCTATTTCTGTTTATCTGCGTGCTTTGTGTGAGACTGGGAGGCACAGAGAGTGTGACTCTAGTTTGTGTGTGTGTCTGTGTGAATTCATTGCACTCTAGGTGTTTGTATGTGTGTGCTTTTGCAGCATATTATTCTGTATATTCGTGTGTCTCTTCAGCTGAGAAGCTGGCCGCGTGCGAGGG